GAATGGCAGATGTCCTAAATAGCACTCTGGCCTCAGAATCAGCCCTAAAGGCATTCGGATCTGGCTGAAAAGCCCATGAGAGTATTTCAGGCATGGAAAGCCAAGACACTCTGGCAAAAGATCTCTGCGAGTGAGATCCCAGTGGAAAGAACAGGTCTTCAAAGAAGGAGGTACCTTTCTCTGAAGGGAGGAGAGAACCTCCACTTTGACTATGACCTTGTCTAAACAAGATAAGAATCGGAGAACTCAGAGGGCTTCCATAGCCTTGGAAACTCATGACCGGAGCATAGGGAGAATACTGATGCCATAGACAGGAGTGTCAATTGGTAAAGTCAACAACAGGAGTCACTGTGCACTTACTCCTCATGTAGGATCTCTGTCCTTAATGTGCTGTGTATTGAGATTTAATGCTATAACGAGTACTCAAACAATATATTTCACTTTGTGTTTCTATGGGGGTGCAAACTGTTGAAATCTTTACTTAATGTATACTAAACTGATCCTCTGTAAAAAAAAAAAAAAAAAGAAAGAAAGAAAGAAATTATCAACTCCCAACTTGACTCTCACTGGGATTAAACATGACAATAGGTCTGATCTGATTTCATCATCATTTAAAAAAAATCATCTATTATTTTTCACTTTATGTTTCTGTGTGGGAGCAAACTGTTGAAATCCTTACTTAATGTATACTAAGCTGATCTTCTGTATATTAAGATAATCGAAAATGAATCTTGATGTGAATGGAAGGGGAGAGGGAGTGGGAAAGGGGAGGGTAGTGGGTGGGAGGGACGGTATGTGGGGGAAGCCATTGTAATCCATAAATCGTACTTTGGAAATTTACATTCATTAAATAAAAGTTTAAAAAAAATGTGTAGTACAACTAGATACAATGCCAGCAAGGAAATAAATGACTCACCAAAAATGTATAAAACCATACCTAGTAGACATTTATACAATACACACCACAACAGCAGATACATGTTCATATTCTTCTCAATATTGTATATAATGGTCTCTAAAATAGAATATATTACCCATAAAAAAGCCTCAGTAAATGTAAAAAGATTTAAATCATACAAACTATGTTCTGTGAACATAAAGGAAGTAAATGAAAAGTTAAAGCAGAATGAAATTTGGAAAATTCACAAACATGTGGATATTAAGCAACTACTTCTAAAGAGCCAGAAACAAATCAAAAAGGAAATTAGAAAATACCTCCAAGAGAATGAAAATGAAACAAATTATGCAAAATTTTATGGCATGCTATGAAAACAGTATCTAGAAGGAACGTTAAAACTGACTGCTCATCTTAGCTGAAATGAATAGCTCAAACTTCCAGCCTAAGAAACACAGAATAAGAAACTATCTCCAAAGTGATAAGAATGGACATTTAACAAGATTAGCATAGTAACGAATACACAATAGACAAATGAAACAAAAATACCACCTAAAATGTTTCTCTGAAACTAAAAAAAGACATACAAACTGAGAAACACAAACTTATCCAAACCAATCAAGAGAAAAGAGAGCTGGCTCAAATTACTAAAATCAGAGATGAAAGGGGGAGTTAAAGAAATCAACGTGATTCAAAAGAACTACTAAGAACAGAATTTTTGCCAGTAATTATCTAACATTGATGAAAACTTCCTAGAAACATACACATAAACTAACAAATATGACAATTAGAAATAAAAAGTCTTTATTGGCCTATAACAAGTAGAGTGATGGAATTAAAATTGGAAAAACAAACAAACAAAAAACTTCCAACAAAGCAAAACCCTGGGCCAGATGATTCACTGGTGAATTTGACCAACTGTTTAAAGAATTAACATGAACCCTTTTAAAACTCTTCTGAGCAGTAGAAAAGGAAGTAACACTCTTGAACACATTCTATAAAGCCAGTATTACACTGATACTAAAGCCAGACAAAGATGATGCAATAAATACAGACGCCAAAATTTTTTTAAAATACTGACACCCCAAGTCCAGCAGCACATAAAAATGATTATAAATCAAACAAGTAGGATTTATCCAAGGAATGCAAAGTTGACCAAACATACAATAGCAAATCAATACAGACTTTACTTACAGAAGAACAGACCACACGATCATTTCGATTGGTATAGAAAAAGCATTTGACAGAATCTAACATCCCTTCATTACATAAACACCAACACGCTATGACTAGAAGGGAATTTTCTGAGTTTGATAAAGAACATCTATGAAAAATTCACAGCTGACATCAAACTGAGTGGTGAAAAACTAAAATCTAACACTCAACATGGTATTGAATGCTCTATTAAACAAAATTAGGCAAAGAAATAAAAGTGACCAGATTGAAAAGACAAGAAATAAAACTAGTTGTATATTTAGAAGGTAGGTGTATCCATCATATGTCTCTCCCATCTTTGCTAGAAACAGAACTAAAATATACTTCTATATACGTAAACACTTGCACATACTCTATGTATATATGTATATGTAAGTCAGTATCTGTATATCCATAACGAATCTACCAAGGGGCTGGCGCTGTGGCATAGTAACCCAAGCCTCCACCTGCAGCACAAGTATTCCCTCTGGGTGTGGTTTTTGTTCTGGATGCTCCTCTTCTGATCCAGCTCTCTGCTATGGCCTGGGAAAACAGTGGAAGATGACCCAAGTGCTTGGGTCCCTGCATCTATGTGGGAGACCTGGAAGAAGCCCCTGGTTCCTGGCTTCGGATCAGCCCAGCTCTGGCTATTGCATCCAATTGAGGAGTGAACCAGAGGATGGAATACCTTTCTCTCTGTCTCCCTCTCTCTCTAATTCTGCGTCTCAAATAAATAAAATCTTTAAAAAAAAGGAATCTACAAAATATTACAGAAAATAAAACAAGTTTAACAAATTAGCAGGATACACAATAAATATAAAGAAAATAACGTGCATTTATGTATACTAGCAATAAATAATCTAAAAGAGAAATTAAGAAATCAGGGCTGGTATTACAGTATAGAGGTTAATCTACAGCCTGTGACAATAACATTCCATATCAGAGTGCCAGTTCGAGTCCTAGCCACTCCATTTCCTATCCAGCTCCCTGCTAATATACCTAGGAAAGCAGCAGAAGATGGCCCAAGTAGTTGAGTAACTAACATCTGCCCAGATGCGGCTCTGGGCTCCTAGAGTCAATCTGTCCCAGCCTCAGTCATTACAGACATATGAGCAGACACTGAACCAGCAGATGGAAGATCTCTGTCTCTCTCTCTCTCTCTCTTCCTCTCTCTCTCTCTCTCTCTCTCTCTCTCTCTCTCCCCCTCCCTCCTTTCTCCCTGTCCCTTTCCTCTGTCACTCTTCCTTTAAAATAAAATCTGCCATTAATAATAGTATCATAAATAATTAAAATAGTTGGAAATAAAAGAGCCTATGATGTGCAAGACATTGTTGAAGAATTGAAGAAGCAAATGAAAGGAAACTGATTACAAATACATGGAACACCTAACGCTGTCAAGGCAGAAGTACTCAAATTGATATGAACATCTACGGAAATCCAAATCAATACTCCAGCTGCATTTTATTCATACATAAATGGGCAAGCTGACCTGAAAATTCATATGGAAACAGACACAAAATAGTCAAAACAATTTTAATAAGAAAAACAAAATAACCAGTTCATGCTTCTCACTTTCAAAACTTACTACAAAGCAATGGTAATTTATACAGTTCAGAATTTGCCTGGAGTTAAATATTTACAACAGTAGACCAGAAATGAATGTCTAGAAACAGGCATATACATTTATTGTCAACTGATGTTTGACAATGTTGCAAAGACAATTCAAAGAGGGGGAAAAAACAGTATCCAACACAACCTTCTGAGAAAACTGTACTCACCTGTAAAGAAACGAATTTGAATCCCTACTTTATAACATATGTATAAAAATTAACTGAAAATGAATCAAATACCTAAGTATAAGAAATAAAGCTGTAAAACTCTTAAAAGGAAATATAGACAAAAATAAAGGCTTTTCCTTATACTAGGAAACATTTTCTTTTTAGATGTAACACTAAAAGCAAAGTCATTAAAGACAAGTAAATAAATAGGCCTTCATGAAAATTATAAACTCTTGAGTGTCAAAAGTCTCATCTGCATGTATCAGTATTGATGCAAATATAGTTTCGTATTTCATAGCTTTGTCAAATCAGTGGTTAAGAGTGTTTTACTACTATAGGATTAAATGATCTGTTATTACTGTAATTTACATTGGTAAAATGGCCATTTTTCAATTATTGTTTATAACCATTGTCTAATTCCCACTAAACTGCAGTCTTTTTTGCTTTTTACTTGTTAAACTTCTTATTCTGTGAAGTATGAACCATTTTTACTACAATATAAATTTAAAATGTTATATCAAAAACTGTAGAAAGAAAGAAAGGGAGAACAAAGAAGGGTCGGAAGGAGAGAGGGGAGGGAGGAGGGGTTATCATTATGTTCTTAGAATTCATCTATTAACCACATTGAATCTGTTAAAAATCTGATGAAAAATTAAAATTAAAAAAGAGAAAAAGTGCAAAGAAAACCCAAACTCTGGAATAAGATATTTGCAAATCACATCTCTAGCATGGGCCTAGTAGCCATGAAACATAAATAATTGTTATAACTCAACACTAATGAGGCAAATAACCCAATTTTAAAATGAACCAAGGATTTGAAAAAGACTTTTCTGAATTATACATACAAATGACCATGAAGTACATGAAAGATGCCCCATATTTGGGATTATGAATGGAATGCAAATCAAATCACACTGACTTCACCATTTTATACCCAGTAAGATGGCTATAAAAAAAAAAAAAAGACAGGAACAAGTGTTGGTGGAGAAATTAGAACTCTCAAATTTTTGTAGTTTTTACATACAAAATGACATGCATATACTAGCTTAGTAAGCCCTCAGGAACTAAACACAACTACCATACCCCAGGGTATTAACTACCTTTTTGTTTGTTTTTTACTGTCACTAAAATACCTGAGGGGAGCTTCTTAGAAAGGAAACGGTGTATTTCCGCTGACAGTGTGGAGGTTCAGAATCCAAGACTGGGCAGTCCCAATGGTTCAGGCATCTGCTGAACTCAGAGGAGGGCAGAAGGATGAGTGCAGAAACACTGACATGGGAAGCAAGCTCTTCCTTTACCCTCTATGTGGTATCTCTTTATGAAGTCATCAGGATTCAATCATGGGGTTGCACCTTAGTAACCTAATCCAGTCTCAAAGGTATTGGGCACTGGGAAACTCATATGGGAAATACATCATATTTTTGTCTGAAATCCCATTTTCTGCAATGCCCACCACCTCCATTCATCTCTTCTCCATCCCTACTAGATTTAGTTTTACACAAACAGAAGATGTTTTTGAAGGGAAATTTGGGTGACTTTTTATTACTACAAAAATTTTGTTGGGACTTTGGAAAGTAAGTACTAGGTGAACAGTCTAGTAATAATATCACAAATTGCTTTCTATAATAAAAGAACAAAGGAAATAGAGCTACAACATAAGAGAAAACCAAAAAAGATTATTGTATTTTTAATATTCAGAAGTTATCCCAAATTATAGCAAATTAAAATCTACTTAAAAAGAAAACTATTTTCCAGTGAATTCTTGGTTCCTGGATAGAAATTCTGAAAAGAATGAATTTACTTTCCCAAAGTTAATTCCAATAATCAGTGATAATAGTTACAATTATTATGGAGTGTTCAAATACACATTGTATTAATTTTTAAAATAAATATTTCACTCTTCATTGAAAACTTTGTAAACAATTGTTGCTGTTTTAAAACATCTGGTGAATGAAGTCAAGTGTTCTATAGATTTCAAATGAGTTGCACATTTTGGATAACCTTAAATGGCAAAGGCAGTTTTTTGTGTGTCTTTTTTTTTTTTTTCTCAAAATGTGACTGTGAACAATGGTTGTAATGTAGAGTTTAATTATTAATCAATACACCAGAGATTTCCAAAGCATGTGTTGATTTACAATGTTTCATTGCCTACTGTCCAGATCATAGGTCTATAAGTCTTGGAGTCAAGTTTCCCAGCCAGTCCAGGCTGGAAGACTTCTGCTTTAGCTTCAGTCAGCGAGAAGAACATGGGAAAGATTTGGAAAGTGGAGTGGAAGCCCGAGTTATTTCTTCCTCTTGTTCTGCCTGTTGCACAGCTAACATTCTCCTGGTAACTAGAACAACAGAGGCAGCACGGAGGACCTCCTGGGGTTCCCCTTGAGTTAGGTTTGACTTCAGGGAGCTGACAGCAGCAGGCAGCTGTCAGCTGTCAGCTGCAATAGATTGGGCTGGCACTAAACACTTTGCTGATTACCTGAACTCTGAGCAAATTCGCAAGCTACCTGTTGTCTTTCCTTATGATTGATACTCCAGCCTCCCTCCACCCCCGCCAACAGTTTAGAAACATCAAATTCCTTGTATTAAATCCCTTCCTTCTTGAAATACCTATAGTATTCTGTTTTTATGGCTGAATCCTGAGTAATAAAAATAGTAACAAGTTCTAACGAGCATCGATCTTGGGAAATTTGTCCCTTTATTCAAAAGAGATAGTATTGCTGAAGAAAATATATATATATATATGTATAATTTATTTTATTTATTGAAAGTTACAGTCTGAGCAAGCATGCCTATCTGTGAATAACCTTGATTGTGTTGTCAAAATTCTACCACTTGAAGGTGGGTAATATTATTTTGAAACAGCTAGGGACTGCTGCTTCACCTGAAAGTGTTAAGTCATTATTGTGGGCTGACCTCAAATTTTCATATGTTCAAGTTCTACTGCCAATACTTGACAATATGAATGTATTAGAGATAGGCTCATGAAAGCGATGTTTGGGTTAAAATAAGGTCAATGTATCGGACCCTACTCCAACGTGACTACTCCCTTTATCAAAGGAGATACAGAAATACACACAGAGGGAAGACACTGGGATGGGAGGAGGAAGCAATCATCTTCGAGCCCAGGAGAGAAGCCAGCCCTTGAGAAACCTGGATTTTGGACTTTTAGTCTCCAGAACTATGAGGAAAAAGGTTTCCTATTTAAGTCACACAGTCTGTGCTACTTTGCTATGGAAGCCCTAGAAAATTAAAAGAGCCATTGTTGAATTATTCTATTTGGAATGTGAAAATATATGGGACCATAAGATTTTAAACTTCATTCTTTTTTTTTCTTTTTTTTTTTAACTTTTATTTAATGAATATAAATTTCCAAAGTACGGCTTATGGATTGCAATGGCTTCCCCCCCATATCGTCTCTCCCACCCGCATCCCTCCCCTTTGCCACTCCCTCTCCCCTTCCATTCACATGAGGATTTTAAACTTCATTCTTAAGAAGTTCTCCAAAAGTCTTTAAAGACAATTCTAAGAGACAAGTACAGGTACGTATTATGCAAACAACCGAATACATATGTAATCCACCTACAGTGGACAAATTGGCAGGAATCACATTAATTTAAATGCAATACACAATGTTTACTTTTAAAGTCCTATTACATCATTTTAAATTCATATGAAGAATACATTCATGTAAACAAAGTTTGCATACATATCAATATTCATACAATATATTTTATAATACTGTCACCCATGGAACTCAGGGATGAAAATTAAAGCAATGTGTTAAAATTAGCCAATCACATTAGGAAATTGGAACAAAGACTGGCTGGCATTAGTTACAGCTGGATCCATAATTGTAAAAATGTAATTTTTAGAGTCATTGCCTATCTTTGCTTTATCATGTCGTGTTTCAAAAAGTGTTTTAGGATTTTTTTTTTTTTCAGAGTGAACAGTGAGAGAGAGACAGAGAGAAAGGTCTTCCTTTGCCGTTGGTTCACCCTCCAATGGCCACCGCCAGCGCGCTGCGGCCAGTGCACTGCGCTGATCCGATGGCAGGAGCCAGGTGCTTCTCCTGGTCTCCCATGGGGAGCAGGGCCCAAGGACTTGGGCAATCCTCCTCTGCACTCCCTGGCCACAGCAGAGAGCTGGCCTGGAAGAGGGGCAACCGGGACAGAATCCGGCACCCCTACCGGGACTAGAACGCGGTGTGCCAGTGCCGCAAGGTGGAGGATTAGCCTAGTGAGCCGCGGCACCGGATCTCTTCTAACACAGCATTTGGCAACATGCTAAGAACTGAAAATGTGTAAAGGGTGCTCTAATCATGTTTGGTCTCATGTATTTTATTTATAATTTTTTCAATAGAAGATTTTATATTTGCAAGGCCTGAGATTCTATCAGCATTGTTTGCTATGAGATATGATCAGTTCAAAAAATCTTTAGACATGATAAATAATCCACCAAAATATCAAATAATATAGTTTGAAAAAGACTTGCCATACTCTGAAACAACTCAAAAGTGTTCCAAGTGTTGGTGTGGGATTTCTTATTCATAAATTATAATAGGCTTCACTCTGTAACAGTAATTTAGATCTCATTTTTGGAATAAGTGCTACATTTTATGATAAAAAGATAATAAATATATGCAAAGTCTCTTCCCCATCCCTATACCTTATTTTCCCTGGCTCTTTTTCCCAAGTCTGTGGGGAGCCACTATGCATGGATACACACCAGCTACATGATATATATGGGAGTATATGACAACATTTTATGATACTTACTTTTAAGTACTTAAAAATATCTTCTTTAATAGAAATGCCCTATAGATTTGCCATAACCATTCAACAAATTAACTACTGATGGTCATTTGAACTTTTCCTAATCTTTTTCTACTATCAATAAAGTTTCAGTGAGTAACCTTTCATAATTATTATTTGGAGAGTAGAAAATAATATCTGTATGTTAAATTCCAAAAGCTGAAAATGATGTATCAATGAGCAGGTTGGTATAAATATAAATATTGTATAATTGTATATATATCCCATTTTGTTTTAATAAATACAATGAATTCTTGTAGCACCATAATCAGCATCTAACAATGAAAATTGTGAAATATAATCATAATGCTGTGTGTTTGCAAGCTAATAAAACCAGTATTATTCATTCAATGTTTCAGTTAGTATAAGTAAAAAAAAAAGCAAGAAAAAAAATTTCCTTATAGTTGTTTTCTACATGTGGGAAAAAGAACAACTGCTGTGTACACTTATTCTTTACTCTGATGGGCCCAAGTGATCATCTGGCTTTCAATCCCCATTCCTCACCACACCCTATTTGCTCAGGCAGAAGATTAAATTTAGTCCATTCTCACTTGAGAACAGAGCCAGTGGTCAATAGTATCGTGTTTCATACTATTTTTCTCCCAGGTCATGGAGGTAGGTTATTTCATTGCCAAATTGCCATAAATTAGGTTGCACAACTTTCTTCTTCAATCAGCAAAATCTGAAAGTTCATGTTTCCTCGGTTTTGTCAAGCAACTTGTGGACAACATTGAAACACTGAGTGTTAAACCATAAGGAGGAGAGATATTTGGGATTTATTTGTACCTAATTTTTATTTTGATATTTCTTAGAGATTTATTCATTTTAAAGGCAGAGTGACAGAGAAATGGAGAGAGAGAGAGAGAGAGAGAGAGAGAAAGAAAGAGAGATCTTAACCTGCTGTATTTGTACCTAACTTTTATTGTAGCGGGTTTTCTTAGAGGTACACAGTGATTAGCCTCTATTTAGATCATTGTTGGCCTACGTGCAATTCCCCTCCACCTCCCTTTTATAAATCACTACTTGATGAAGTAACCAGGGGACCTTAAACTTCACCAGACACAAAGATTTCCAGTGAGGACAGTTTATATCTCTGCTCCAATGCAGTTAATCTATAAGTCCCTCAAGTCTTAGGCGTTAGTGATGGCAAAGCCCCACATGAGGTCATCCAGACCATCCCTTGGAAGGCTTGTCTCTGCAGTGTTTGATGTTTGCTTTTCTTTGTTTAGCCCAGTCCTATTCACCGACTTAAACATATTAAAATTTAAAAGGTATACTGGGAATCTCAGGAGTTTCTTCTCAAAGAAAATCAGCAGATAATAAAACCGTGGAAAACCTGAGAACCTTATTTTTCTGAGTCTCATAAGAGGCAACAATTTTCAGTTTTAAGAATGCTTATTTATATTTAACCTAAAGACCCCAATCTAATATGTTTAATAGTTGAATGTTTTTGGCCTTAATTATTGCATGCATTAATTG